GGGAGGACAGTCAGACCGTTTTTCTTGCTCTTTTTAATTTGTTGTTGAGAATATGCATAGCAGAACAAACACCAATTCAACGGTTTCCACACGTACAACTCAGCGACACTGATTACATCATTCCAGTTACGCAACTATTGCAACCCTGCTGTCCTGAATCCCTCTTCCACTGACGTAAACTCGCTGTCCCTGAAGGTTCTTAAGTTGTCACTCTGGTCCCAGACAGACAGTTCTTCAGAGGGCATAATGCAGATGCTTTTCACTAGTTCAGCTAAACTACTGTTTGGTCTTAAGAAGACTCCAGGGGATATTTTTGGTTCAAGTTTTAAAGATTATCTCAGGGTAATAGTTTCAGGGGCTCATCCAGCCCCCAGGGCTATAGGAAGTCTGGAGCCTGTGAGAATTAGAAGTTCTCTTCTGCATTTTCCCCCTTTTGATCAGGATTTTTCTATAGTATCTTTGATCAAAATGTTCAATGATAGCTGGGCACCATCCAGTTCACGGCAAAGGAGGGGCAGTTGTTCACGGAGGCAATTAGCCACCTTCCATATCCTCCTCCTATTCCTGAGTCTCTTTCTTCCTCTGTTGTTGCAGGTGAATACAAACCTGCTGGCATGCTTTCAACAGCCATTTGTAAGCTTCTGACACCCCAGCACTACCCAACAACTAAGAAACAGAAGAGAAGCACTGAACGCTTTATTTGACCAATAAACGGGATGTCCCATAAAACCATGAACCTAGACTCCAAACCAAGGAGCCAAAGCCCATGAGGTTTTTGGCTGTACATAATTATCCTCAGCAGTTATTTTATTTTTTGTTATTGCTGTAAATGTATCTATCACACACATTTTGCTAGTTCAACTTTTTACAAATGTACAACTTACTAATATCAATTATAATAATTCAGTATGCAACCCTACCCTCAATGAATGAGATTTTTTCCAACACTGTTAACCACCCTCTTCCTCTCTCCTGCCTCTGGAACCACTAACAAACTTTGTTCTCTATACATTTGCCTTTTCTTGTCTTTTTATGTAAGTGAGGTCATATAATAATTGTCCTTTGGTGAATGACTTATTTCACTCAGCATAATGTCTCCAAGCTCCATCCACACTGTGGCCCATATCAAGACTTTGTTTCTTCTACTGAGCAAGCATTTAAGTCAAGCTGTGCTGGTCAACCTATAAAGTGAATTTTTGATCAATAAATCTGAGTTCATCCAAAATCCAGACAACAGCCAAACAATCATCTGAGCTAGAAGGCATATTATTTAATTAATTATCACAATTAAAGTTAAGACAGTTTCCTGAACCCCCAGAAATATACAAACTTACCTATGGGAGTGACAGAATTGCCGTCACCTCCTCTGATACTAACAGCTGTATTCAAGCAATTCAGCATTTTTAAAAGTCAGGCATTATAGTACCACCAATCACTTCTGATGAGTAAGAAAATGGCCCATAGAAATACAGATGGGCATTAGCATCTTTTTGTAAAGGCTATAACTATGGTTCTTGTGCTGTTACCAGGCCTTTCTCCTCACTCACCAAGGACGACGTCCTATACTTAAGGCCTGCTCTGCCTCCCGTCTTCAGCTTCCCCCTGCTGCTGCAGGTCTTGGAGTCCACTGGCGGGAATTTTTCTTGGTTCAATGCATCTAGGCCTGTGTGGCTCAAAAACATGTTTTTGTTGTCTGAGAGATCCAAAAGATTAAGAACTACAGAGTCCAAGCGTTCTTCTGCCTGTATCGAAATGCCATGCAGCACTTAAGAGTGAAGAGGCTGGAAGCACAGAGCTGACTGGAGCCTTCACGGAGGGGAAATTTCAGAGCTGCTATTTGGTCCCTGAAACTGATGCTGCCCATGCTGATATTAGATGGAAATCCCTGCAAGTGATTTTTATTTCTTTCATAATTTTATTTTTCAATCTTTTTAGTATCAATTGTTTTATTTGATTAGAGAGAGAAGCGCTTTAAAAAAAGAAGCGATACAACCCTGCACTTGGATTTTTTTCTCCCATTACCTGACAAGCCATTACCCAGTTCTTCCTCATCCTAAATTTCAAGCATTGTGTTTGAGATGGTCTAGCTTTACTTGTAATGGTATCAGCCCTGGGTGTATTATCAGTGTTTTTGCTTTTTGGCAAGATGAAAAGCAAGAAGTCAGGTAAGGGGAAGTGCTCCAGCATAACTGTTCAAGGCCAGAGCATACTGGTAAGCTGTTAAAAAATACTCAGTGATTGTCAATGTGGCTGGCTGTTTTCAACATCCAAGCCACAGTGCTTCACTAAGCAAATTCTCATCACCCAATAGTTGATAGTGACTGCATCTCAACAGTTCTATTAAAATGTGAGAGACACAACTTCAAGTAGCCAGGAAAGGGATTTTGTATTTCTGCTTCATGTTCCACCCCCACTGCCTGGACAGAAAATTTAAAGTAGGAAAGAAAACTAAATTCAAGTGCTACAAAAAGTAACAAAATGTTAGTTGTCTTAGCACCTATAATTGAGTAGGAAACCACTTATTCTAGGCAAAGTTAATCAAAAGATAGATACTCTCAGCTATAATCCTAGAAGGACAAATTCTGGTGTTTTATAGACATGTAGCCAGGATGAAAGTTAAAAAATAAATAAATAAATAAAGCCAAAAAGTAACTACACAAATACTAGCAATTATGATGGATTACAGAACTTAAAAAATAACTAGAAACATAATCCATTAAGCAGAACGTGAGAAGTTTACTTTTTGAAAAATTCACTGCAAAGGTGACCTCTCTATCACAGTTTCACAGTGGGTTATATATGTACTGTGATGGGAGACAAGGCTTCAGGTCTAGGCCAGAACTAGATGGTGCCTGCTACCATGACCAACTGCTCTAATCAGGATCATAATAGTAGGTCCTGGACAGAGTGGGAGAAAAATAGACAACAAAATTCAAAATCCTAAAAAAGACCAGACTGATGGAACCCCCGAAACCAGAGCCTTAGATAAGCTTTAAACCTGGAACTGAACCAGCTTCAGGAGACCCCCATTCGGACAAGCATATAAAGTGAACAGAGCAGCCACGAAGGATGCACCCCTCAGAACAATCACCCACACGGGACCAAAAGGCAGCGTTTGCCCAAAACCAGAGTTCCGAAGGCAGGAAGGGGCAGGACAGACGGATGAATGGAAACGGGGAACCCAGGGAGGAAGCGGGAAGAGCGTTGTCACACTGATGGGATTGCAAGTAATGTCACAAAACAAAACGTGTATAAATTGTTCAACAGGACACTCATGTGCTCTGTAAACTTTCACCCAAACCATAACAAAATGTTTGGTTTTTTTTTTAAAAAAAAAGACATTTAGCCCCTACCACCAAAAAAAAAAAGGCTCTAAGCTCCCTGAGGACACACTATAAATTTCAGAATTGTCTATGGATTTAAAAAAAATAAAAGAACCATGTGCATTCATGAAAGGCTAAACACTGAAGCTTCAAAGAGAGGAGTCCGGTGAAAGCATCCTTCAAAGTCCCTCAAAAATAGGTAACTCTGAGGGGATGTCAGTAAGCTACACCCACCCCATGAGAAAACTATTCCCCTTACAGATGCAAAGCCCACATTCCACAGACACGGAAGCTAATACCCTACGAACAGCAAAGGTTTCTGGCTAAAAAGGGAGAGCAACGGGCCTGTTTCTAGAGTTTCAGATTGCTTCTTGTTCTCCCACCTCACACACTGTGTATTTTATAAAACTTATCACAATGTTTTCATGTGTGTCCCTCACTAGACTCTAAGTATATTAGTCACCTGTGGTCTCAGCAAAGGCAGGGACTGGCACATGAAGGTACATAGTCAATGATGTATGAAAAAGAGGATGGACAGGTGGATGGGTAGGTGGATAGGTGAGTGGGTGGGTAGATGGGTGAGTAGGTGGGTGGATGGATGGGTGGGCAGATGGGTGAGGAGTAGGTGGGTGGATAGATGGATGGGTGGGTGGGTGGACAAGTAAGTGTGTGGGTGGACAGATGGGTGGGAAGATAGGTGAGTGAGTGGGTGGGTGGGTAATTCTTGCCCAGAAGTGGGATGGGACTCAAGCCAGTGATAGTAGCCTAGAGGAAGAAGTACTTATAAAAAAATACATGTTGTCATTAGGCCAGTTGCTTATAAAGAGGGAGTGGCCTACATTTTGCCCAATAGGTTTGGGGGCCAAAATATATATATTTATGTTTGAAAATAAAATAAAAGGCCTTTTTCAAAAGCCACATAATTTTCATGTATATTTAACTCTACAAGGTTACAAGCACCAAGAAGCTACTAACACTAACATTGAAAACAGTTACATTCTTATGTTCTATGTAAATAAAACTATAACGAAACATCTAAACGTGAGCTGCTCTGGTGTTAAGCACCTAGCTAGCTGTCTATCTTTGGCTGAACTCGACCCGTCGCATTATTATAATAAGAGACTCCTGGATAGGAAGAGCTGTGGAAACTAAGTCAACTCATACCTTCATTCTTCCTCCACAGATAGTTTGTAAGCATTTAAAGTGTGACCCCTATTATTAACTATTTTTTTAAATAAAAATAAATGTACTCCATAAATATGCAGCGAAAAGAGTGGCTTGACTAAAATTTATTCAACTTACAGTCTTTTAAAATGATTACGAATAAGCATATAAAAGTTGAGGTTAATAGAAAAAGTCCTTATTACTAGCAAGTGCAAGTTATTAAAGTGGAAAAGCCGTCAGTGTCTGTCAGTAGCATCCAATACAAACGGAACGTGTACTATCACATATTAAATGCATTTTAAAAATAATTAAAAGCAAAACAAGTAACAAAGCAATGAAAACACACGGGGCCTGTACTTCTACACATAACCACCAGCATTTGTTCATCTTAGGGACACAATGCATGTAAAGTGCTCATGTTCCCTGGACACAGGGCGGTAAGACTGACAGTGATGCAAAACCTGAGGGCAGGCGGGCGGGAAAGAGGAGGAGGGAGGGAGGAGGAGGCCATACCGTGCAAACATGAGGCCAGTGCTCAAACTGCTGCAGGACTCCTCGGTTCAGTTCTTCTTTGTACAGCTCCTTGTAGAAGTGCGGGAGCTTAGACATCCAGATGCCATTGCTGTGCTTGTTCAGGATTTCCTTTATGCGATTTTGAACCTCGTCCATTTTGTAAGTGCAGGAGGCAGGAGATGTGGCATTTGGTTTTTCAACAGTCTGATTTAAATTATCTTTAAATTTTTAAAAATCAAAGAATTAACCAAAATGCATAACAGTATTTTAGATTATTCCCATCACCTACTACTTGACTGACTTTGGACTCTGCTGTTCGGTAGGCTCGTGGGAGTCAGGGGCCTCGGAGGGAGCAGAGCCAGGCAGAGCAGCTCCAGGAAACCTCACTCTAAGGTTTAACCTCCTTAACTAGCAGGGTCAACAGTCACCCCAGAAGGAAACTAGCCTGTTTATTTTGCAAGGGTGCTTCATAGTTGACTTTAAATGGCAGGATGACTCGCTATGAAAAGAATAATGAAATTTATTTTACCAACCATTTTCTACATGCAACTAAGAAAACTTAATTTTTAGACAGTGTTGGGATATAGTCCACAAAGCATAAGAACAATGTTTAACAGGAAGACAGAAGAGCATTTTCTAGAAGATAAAAAATTATCCCTGCTTTAAGAGAGAATCAATTTTCTAACAGAATAATTCACTAATACACAGAAGTCCAAAATTGTTCCACTTCTAATGACCATCCATTTATTAACACAGACAGAATGCTTGGGCCCCACAGATAATCGTTAACAGTATTCATTGAGTATTTATCATGTCTCATACATTTACTTTCTGTTTCACGGCTGAGGTAACGTGCTAAGAGAACAGAGAAATCTGAGTGTTCCTGATAACCGCCAGCTCTGGCATTTTAAGAACTAGGAAACCCATTCTACACCTCTTCTCAACATCACTGGGCTGTAAGATCAGAATATATCAAATACCACACCTACAAGCAAACTACAGTCATGTTTTACTCACGCAGTATTTCTGCTGGGATTTAATGATTTTTTATTTTACTTTTTCATTGGCTAGTGGAGACAGAGGCTGTTTGGGGATGCTGGCCTTAGGGGATGTGAGGACACCAAAGGCTGAGCTGGTCCTCAGGGTGCCTGGATGCTGACTCAGCTTTCTCACCACACGGCAGAACCTGGGTTCCTGCTAAGACGTGTCTGACTCAGCCAAAGAAGGGTCTTGGATGTTCATATCCATTTCCAGTTAAGGGCATAGCTTTTTTTTGTTTGTTTGTTTTAAGTTCTTGCCAAATAATATAAAAGGCCTGAGAAGAAGGGAAAGATGAGACTCTCAGAACAGGCCAGACCCTCCCTTACTGAGACAGTCAGCGGCTGACCTGGAGTTGGAGTCTTTGTAAATGTCTCTGTTCGGTAGGGCCACCAGAGTAGCTAAGCTGCTCTATCTTTTGCTAAACTACTCAGGGAAGTAACCTGGCCTGCCCGCATGCAGGACAGCTTGTGGACGCCCGCACAGCGTCCGGCCAGGTGATTCACAACTCCCCTCAAACAAATCTGCTTGGTTCTCCAGAAAAAGTGTATAGGAATTTAATCCTCTAAAAGGGTTTCAGACAAGGTATACACCCAAGTGATTCATATAAACAAACATCATACTGTTCAACTCATTTTCATAAGGAAAACCGAGTTAACTGATGAAACACACTTCAGACGATGCAAACGCAAAGTAATTCACATAAAAGCAAAAACTACACTGAAGACGTGTCTGGGACCAGCTAATATGGCCAACTCAGTAAGAATCACATTTGAAACAGCAAATCATTGAAAACAACATGTCCTGAAGTACAAGTACTGGATCTGAAGACAGGGAGGGTCTCTGAGCAGGGAGTTCAAACTGGTAGGAGGAGAAGACAAGTGAGTGTATTTCTGACCTTTGGATCCCTTGACCTTCCTATATCTCCTATTGTTTCTTATGTAATAGCCCTCCGGGATTTTATCACCTGAGTGGTCACTTATATTTATGTTTAGATGCTCTGTGGTCACTGCATTCAGTGTAGGGTGACAGCTTTTAAATGACAGACGATTTTAAATTCTTGAATTTAAGTGCCATGTTTATGTATTTTACATTTAAAGCAGGGGGCTTCCTTTAAGGGAGGCCTCTCTCAGCCTCCAAAGTCTGGGGCTTACACTCTAAGGAGTGAAACAAAGGCTAAGGAGGGTCACAATGTCTGCAGGTGAGCCGGGGAAGGGTAACAGCGGTCTGCTCTGAGCAGACCTCAAGTCAGAGTAAGAATGGCATCTCTGGAGGCATCATTCTATCTTTAGTTCACCTCAGTTTGTGATTTATACACTACGAAAGAGGGGAGGAGAGACACATTCAGAGAAGAGAAGGTGAGAGCAAACAGCAAAGGCCACGCTCGGCTGGTCTTCTTGGGGCTCTGAGGCACCAGACGCCAAGATGTATCAAGAAGATAATGCTTAAAAACATACCGCTCATTTCCTTAGCACAGGTTCTTGGTAGATGCATCTGAAAAGCTGGTGGAAGAGATGTCTTTGGACTGAACCTAAGATGCAAAAAATAAATAAAATAAAAATTCAAATAGCCAAGTCTGTATCACAGTTTAAACACTGTGCTTTGGATTTAAAGTCTCTGGCACTGAACAGCAAAAAAGTCATTAAAATATTCCAAGCTCAGCAAAAATGAAAGCTGGCATCATCTTTCATGTTTCATATTTGCCCAGTGAATGTTCATATTCACTTTAGTTATAAATTAAATTCAAACTAGGTCTTTAAAGTTACTACTTAAAAGCTTCTTTCCAAACTTGGACATCAGCATTCTCGATAATCACCTTTAAGGGACTACCAAAACAAAATAAAGAAAACCATGCAAAGAAAAAACAACTGGAAATAAAGAACACTTTGGAAGAAACTAAAACAATGAAGGATTGCATCCTTAAATACTGAAATGCATTCTAAAGTTACAATATTTAAAACAGTTGGGCAGATGAATAAATAGTAGAAAGCTCAGAGATACTCGCTTTACATTACATCTTAACTGAAGATAAGAGTGGCTTTTAAACCAGAGAAGGGATTGACCACTCCAATACCCATCTGGAAAACAAGAGACATAGCTCCCTACCTTGTACCTTCACCAAAAGAATTTTCATACAGATTATATCAGATGTTTGTGTATGGAAGATATCTCTAAGTGTAAGGCCAAATAAATAAACCACACACACACACACACACACACACACAAAAGGAATCATTTGTGTTCATGTATGTCTCCGTCAGAGGACTCTAAGTGTTTAAATTATCTTCATCCCTAGTATCTACAGTACTGCTCAGTACATATAAGGAAGAGTGAAAGATGTAGGAATGACTAGCATGAATGAATGAAGGATTCCGTCTTGCCCAGAGTGGGCATAAGACTAGAGTGGGTGATTATGACACAGCACCTATTTTCCCAACCTTTGAATAGTATGGAATACTCTAAAAATTACATCAATTCTTTGAAATGAAGTCTATTTCCTCACAGTATTTTAAGTCTGAAAGAAATGGTTAGATTGCAGGCCATCAATGAAGTTTATTCATAAATGACACTATGCAAAATGCGTATGAGTAACAACAGAACATACTGGAAACATATCCAGCTCCTACCTTTCCTTACAGAACTGGTAGGGAGACAGCAGCCCTTTCCCATGCACCAGCCCTAAAAAGGTAAACTGGAACCTTCCCTTGCTTTGAGTCAGCATCGAGGGGTCTAGTGGAAGGCAGAGGGATCTGAGCAAGAAGCACAGATACAGAGGGACTAAGGAAGGGACGGCTACGCTTCAAGCACGGACAGGTCTAACGAAGAGCAAAGACAACAGCCCACACAGCCAAAGACAGATGTTCAGGGCAACTGCAGGGATGCATGACAACCAGACAAGACAGAAGAAGGTAACAGAGATCCAACCAATTTGATAACAATAAATATAAAAGATTTAAACTCACCTCTTAACACAAAGACTGAGGCTGGTCCAAAACCCAAATCTAAACATACACTGTTTATAAGAGACATGCTCTTATCTCACAACGATTTATTTAAGCACTTACTATGTGTCAAGCAGTGTGCCAGACAGAAATGATCAATCACACGCAAGAGTGAAAGGCCCCTATTCTCACGGTCTCGGTGAGAAAATGGTGGTGGTAAACAGCTACTTCAGGTAGTGCCCAATGACTCCTGCCTCCTGGGATTCAAGGCCTTGGGTAATTCACTTACTGAAGTGATTTGTTTCTAACCAACAGAATAGTTCAAGGTTGAGGGGATTACACCTCATGAAATTACAAAAGACTCTAATGTCCATCTCGCTAGAATAACATCTCCCTCGGCGGCTCTGATGAGGCCATGTTGGGAATGCCCACATAGCAAGGAACTAAAGGTGGCCTATTGGCTCACTGCCAACTAGCACCTAAGGAACAACCTGAAAGGAACTCCGTTGTGCCAACAACCATGTAAGTGAGCTCGGAAGCAGGTGGTTCTTCAACTGAACATTCAGGTAAGACCCCAGCCATGACTGACACCTGATTCCAGCCTCGTGAGAGACCCCGCAGCAGAGGACCCGACTGGGTTCCTGACCCACAGAAACTATGACATGATCAGTGTTTTAAACTGCAAAATTTGTGGTAACCTGTCACACAGTCATAGATAATGAATGCTCTGACAAATCTAAACATAAGAACAAAGTCTACTTAGTGCTAAGACGGGGCAACAGATGTAATAAAAGCACACAACAGAAGCAACAAACCAAATCAGGAGACGGAGAGAGGAGGAAGTAGAGAGTAGAGAGAAGGTTATTAGCATTTATTATAAAACTTATAAGGACATGAATAGCTTGGAATTGCAAAAGAATACACAGGCGATAATCAGGGTGCTCAATGGAGCTGAGAAACTGTCATGGAGTTGTAAGAATTTAGTATTGCATTTCAAACCAGTAGGGAAAGAAAGGACTATGTAACTTTGTAATCACTAATAATCAGGACATGTGGCTAACACGGGGCGGGGGGGGGAGGGATCCCCACTCATACACCGGATGAACTCAAGATTTAAATGCAAAAAGTGAAACTGTAAAAATCCTAAAGGAAATCAGAAGACATATTATATAATGTTGGGATGGAAATGCTCCTCTAAACAAATATCCAAGGAAGGGGGAGACTGACAGAGGCACCTATGTGTAACTGTGAGGCTGCTGCACACTAAACACGTCAGAAATAACTGCGAAAATACTGTCAGCCTACTACAGGCGGCAGGTTGATGTCCATAATTTATAAACTACTTTTACAAGTTAAGAAAAAGCCAACACAAAAACTGTGCAAAGGACAAGGACATGTAATCATAAAAGAGCTACAAAGGGCTAGTAAGTATTTGAAGGAGCTCTGGTGGTGTAGTGCCTAAGGCATATGACTGCTAACCAGAAGACTGGCAGTTCAATCCCACCAGCTACTCCTTGGGAGGAAGACAGGCAATCTACTTCTGCAGTGACACCACCTCAGAAACCCAAGGAGGAGTTGCTATGAGTCAGATCTGAGTTGATGGCAGTGAGTTTGGTTTTTTTCCTTTGGTTTTAAGAATCAAATTCAAAGAAACGAACATTAAAGCACAGGTACATTTATCACCTTTCAGAATGGCAAATTATAAACAGAAGCCCAAGGCTGGTAGGGACATAGGAAACAATGACTCCCATTCACTTCTACAAGAATATGAATTGATAGAACTTGTTCTGGAACAAATTAGTAATAACAGGCTGGATGTGTAAGCCCTTTGACCCGCAGATTCTATGAATACCAACTTATTCTAAGGAACTAGTCATGAAGATACTCGAGGATTTTTCTTTGTAAATATGTTTATTGCAGAATTACCTCTAATGGTGGAAATCATTCATATTCAGTAACAGGAGAATGAACAATGAACTATCCTGACACTAAAAATGCCAGTGCAGAAGTGGACTTCACAACACAGACTGCTCACAAGTCACGCAGCAGCGATGTGAGCGTGATTCAGCCTATATTCTAACAAACGTATATTAATAAATAAAAAATATAAAGTTTTTAAAATTATTATGGCTGGATTTGAGGTGATTTTTTTCTTCATCTTCTTTTGAATGCTTCCTACAAGTATTTAGTAAGTTTTAAACCTTCAAGGGCTCAGAAATCACTAAGTTTGCATTCCTTTACTTCAGCTCCATACTTGGAAGATGACATCCAATCTTGTGCCTGTCGGTTGATGACAGTCCTTTACTCCAGGCCAGAGTCCATGCTCTTACTCACTTGATATACATGTGGCCATTTCTTCTTTTTCTAACTTGATGGAAACTCAGCCTTCAGCACCGTACACATTTAAGCTTTAGGCGTAAATATATTAAATACCTTCCTTAGTAATCTTGTCACTTGAACAAGATATAATGATCACAGATTGTATTATTTTACAGATAAATGTTTCCTTCCCTCATGTACACCAGAGAAAGCACAAAACACTCACACATTCACGCTCCAGACCCTTCTTTCCATCTGCTGGAGAAGACACATGGTAAACTTAATGTCCAATTTACGATGGAGAATATCACATGTGTAATTTTCTAGAACTTACCAGATCATTAAGTGGCAAGCATGAGTTCTTAACTATGGGCTCAGAGGCACTCTGACCTCCTGAACTGGTGTACAAAGATGTGCACATAGGCACAAAGACGTATGCATAGGTATAAAGATGTGCACACATGGACATGCGTGTTTTCTGGGAAATGCATTTACAGCTGTAATCAGCTTTTCAAAAGGTTTGGTTACCTTAAGTTTAAATATCTGTCAAAACAGGATTAACTGCTTTAACTACATTCATCTTTCACAAGTAGAAATTTAAAAAAAAAAATTTACTATTGTTTTATTTTGATAACAGTAACTTTGTTTCATTTAGAAATTAAAAGGCTGTCCCTGGACTTCCAGTAAGATGGAGGAATAGGCAGACAAGTGACACAGACCCTCTTCAACAAAGAAAAGAAAAACCAATTGACAGTGGCACAGAAGATAATCCTGGAGCCCTGAGCTTTGAAAGGAACTATACAGAAGTGGGTTAGGCACCAACTAGTGGAAAAACCTGAATGAAAACAGTGAGTACAGAGACGGTCAGAGTGGTGTACTGTCAGCTACTCTGATGGGACCAACAGCCTGAGTATTTCCACATGGTGTTGGGACCTGAGAACTGACCCAAAGATCAACCCTGGTCACCAAGGGCTGCAGGGATGACTGAGCCAGCGGCCTGTGACTAGGAAAGGAAACAGCAAGGAGGGAGCCGACCTGATGTGGACTTTCGGCTGTCCGGAGGGGGCAGCCATTTTGGATATTTAAAGTGACTGAGGGCGCAGCCACTTTGAATGTTCACAAGTGGTGGGCATTTTGGATTTTAAAGTGACAGCATTCTCATTCAGATTCCAGGGACCTAAGAACGGGCTCTGTTTGCCAGGGGCGGCAAGGACATACAAGAGGCTGACAACAGGAAAGGAGACAGGTGGTGAGTGTGTTAAGTGCTGCCAACTAGTGAATAGAGGAGAACAGCACAGTACCCTGCTTACACAGATAACATAAAAACAAAACAAAGAAAATGAAAATTGTGGGCAAGTCACTCCAACATATAATCACCCATTAAATATAAACACAAAAATGTCACTATGCCTCAGAGACAACAGAGCATCACAGTGAACACAAAAAAGCAAGATAAAGCAGGAGAAACAAGGGACCAGGATACAGAGCCAAAACACATCCCTGAGGAAGACGCAGCATTGGGACTCCCTGAGAAGGAATTCAAAAGAATTATATTTAGGTATCTTCAAAGGATTGAGAGACAGATCAAGGAAAATACTGACAAAATTGAGGAAAACACAGAGAAAACCATAGAACAATTTCAAAAGACAATATAAGAACAAAATGACAAAATGAATGAAAAATTAGAAATGATACAAAATCTACATATAGAAATCCAGAAGATTAATATTAAATTTCCAGAAATAAAAAACACATTAAAAGGGCAAAGGAGTAGAACTGAATCAATGGAAGACAGAATTAGTGAGACTGAAGGCAAATAACTCAATACTTCTTTGGAAAGTGATCAATCAGAAAAAAAAGATCAAAACAAAATGAAGAAAGTTTAAGGTTCATGTGGGAAACCATCAAAAGGAATAACCTACATGCAATTGGAACAGGAAGAGACAAATAAAACCTCAGAAAAAGTTGTCCAAGATCTGTTGGAAGAGAATTTGCCTGGGATGATGAAAGATGAGAATATAATCTATTCAAGAAGTCCAACAAACCCCAAACAGGATAGACCCCAAAAGAAAATCACCAAGTCATATCATCATCAAACTCACCAAAACCAAAGACAAAGGAAGAATCCTGAAAGCAGCATGGGGAAAACAAAAAGTTACCTACAAGGGGCAACCAATAAGACCAAGCTCAGATTTCTCAGCAGAAACCATGCAGATGAGAAGACAATGGGACAGTACATATAAAACCTTGGAAGAAAAAAATTTCCAACCAAAAATTATGTACCCAGCAAAACTGTCCCTCAAATATGATGGTGAAATTAGGACATTTTCAAATAAGCAGAAATTAAGGGAATTTGTTCAAAGCAGACCAATATTACAAGAGATGCTAAAGGGAGTCCTTTGGACAGAGAAGCAACAACAGCAAACAACTGACCATTAACACACATGATGACACAACCCAGAAACCAACCCAGCTATGGAAGTATCCAAAATAAGTAAGCTGCCATCCAGTTGGATCCTACTCATAGCGACCCCTCCTTGGGTTTCCAAGACGGTATCACGATGGAAGTAGATTGCCCAACCTTCGTTCCGAGAAATGGCTGGTGGGTTTGAACTGCCACCCTTCTGGTTAGCAGTCAAATGCCTTAGGCACTACACCACCAGAGCTCCTAACAGGGAACCAGACACATCAACTGACAAATGAAGGTAACTACAAACCCAAAAGAGGGAAAAAACTGTGTAGTTACAGAACTTCTAAATGGTAGGAAAGTCAAGACAACTGTAAGATAGAACTGACTGTTCTAAACTTGGGAAGAAAACTATAAATCACAGAGTAACCTCAAAGAAAAATGATAAACCTTCACATCAAAATAAAAAAGAGAACCAGCACAAATATTTAGCAAATACTACAACAATAGCAACGAAGGAAGTGATAACGCGATTCATAAACAAAATGATTTCAGCACATTATATTTCTTTGTTCCAAATTACATACAACAAAGAAATCGACACCACGAAAAAGCACTTAACAAAAACGACAGCAACAAATTCATACTTGTCAATAATTACATTATCTGGCAAGGGACTTATCTCTAAGATTACAGAAAACTCCAACACCTCAACAGCAAAGAAATTAACATTCCAATTGAAAAATGTGCAGAAGAAATGAATAGACATTTCACCAAGGAGGATATTCAGGCAGCCAGCAAATATATGAAGAGATGTTCACGATTACTGGCCATCAGAGAGATGCAAATCAAAACAACGAGATATCATCTCACCCCAGCATTGATGGCAAGGTTCAATGAGACAGAAAGTAACAAATGCTGGCAGAGAGGTAGAGAGAATGGGACTCTCATATACTGCTGGTGGGACTGTGAAGTGATACAATCACTGTGGAAAGCAGTATGGCAATTCCTTAGAAAGCTGGAATTGGAGGTACCATTTGACCCAGCAATCCCATTACTAGGTATATATCCTAGAGAGGTGAGAGCCAGGACAGGAACAGATACATGCACACTCATGTTCATCACAGCACTATTTACAACAGCGAAAAGATGGAAACAACGTACGTGCCCATCAGCGGGAGAGTGGATGACCAAACTATGGTACATACACATACTGGAATGCTATGCAGCACTGAAGAATAATGCAGAGTCTGCAAAACACTGCATAATATGGATGAACTTGGAGGATATTACACTGAGTGAAATAAGTCAATCACAGAAGGACAAATATAGTATTAGTTCGTTGTTGTGAAGGGTCAAGGAAAGGTTTATATATGGAGGGAAACTTTTTGTGTTGGTTGCCAGGAGTGGGAGGGGATGGGAGGGAACAATGTGAAAAAAAAATGCATTGACCCACGTCACTTTAGTTTTGTATATTTCACTGTACATAAATTATATTTCAATAAAATTCATTAAAAAAAAAAAAAAAAAAGGTGTCCCTAACGTGCCACTTGGTGGTGTTTCGAGTTCTCTAATAGGTTTACTTCTAATTGTATTACGCTGTTAAAAACAAGATTTGATGGACACATTTCACAACACTGCAGTCTGTAATTACAATAGTCGATGTTGTTGTTGTTGTTATGTGCTGTTGAGTCGGACCCGACTCATAGCAACCCCTCCTTGGGTTTCCGAGGCAATAGTCGACAGCGCCCTTAAAACTAAAACCTTACATAAGTCTTTTGCTGTAACGTTTCTAAACTTTTTTTTAAATTATCACATGTTCATGGAAAGTCGCAAAAAATAAACAGAGGTCCTATGTCCCCTTTATCTACTTTTCCCCAAAGGTAATATCTTGTACAGTACAGTATCAACCAGGAAACTGAAACCACAGAGCTTATTCAAATTTCACTAGTTTTACACACACTCATTTGTGTGTGTTTCGCTCTGTGCAACTTCATCACATGTACAGATTCCTGTACCTACCATCACAATAAACATAACAACTGTTCCCTCACTTCTAGGCTCTCTGGCAAATCCTTTAGAGTCATCATCACCCTATTTTAGCCTTTGCAGGACACAGTTTCTGCTGCAATTACTCAATTCCACCGTCGTAGCATGAACACAGCTACAGTCAATACATAAATGAAGGGTGTGTGTGCATTCCAATTAAGACTTTATTTACAAAAACAAGAAATGGGCTGGATTTGGCCTATATGGCACAGTGTCTCCACTCCTGAGCTAGCTTACAAAAATCATAAAGGTTTTAGATTCTTTAGTTTAACATTTTCATCGGACAAATGAGGAAACCACAGTTCCAGAGCGTCAACACTTTAAGCCTTTAACCTGGTCAGTAAATGGCACCACCAAAGCCAGACTCAGCTCGTCCTCTTGCTGCCAGGCCAGAGTCCTGCTGCACGAGCTGTGGTGCTGCAGGGGAGTTAGGGACGACTGCAGCAAGGGGCGTGTGCAACGCAACCAGCTCTCACTTCCTCAAGAAGATTTTCAGAAAAACTCGTAAGTTACGGTACATCATCTCAGAACCACCTGCGAGAGCTCTGAAAAGGAATCTGACAAAGGGCGATTCCAACGACTCCGAGCCAACAGAATGGAGATACCCTCAAAGGACGACGTCCGGCAGCCAGCAAAAGGGGCCTCACAACTAACAATGCGTTTCCTTACCCCATGTGAATTTAAGCAGATAAACAGAAAGCTTTTCCTGCTTACCCTGAACACACACCTTTAACATTTATTACCCTAGGTTCACAAAACTTCTCCTTTTAGCCCCAAACCAAGTACCTGTTGTTGGCAGGCAGGGTTGAGTGTCTCTGTGCTGGAACATTTTTGGAATCTTCACTTCCAAGAGTCATGTGTAATGTGTAAGGGGGCATTTGAGCACCAGGTATAAGCCCAGGAGAGCTTCCTTTCTCTCTTAACAGTGCTGGAGTGGGCTTCTTGTTGATGGGAAAATCTGAAGAAAATCCTGGTTGTCGGAGGGTAGCTTTTGGTTTTCCTATGAAGTCAGGCATACATAACAGAATCAGTTAGCTTCCTCAAACCCTGGTTTGATTACATGACTCCCCTGACCAGACACTTCAGTGGGTCCCTATTCTCAAAACAGTCTGTAGGAACACGAGGAGGGTTAGACACTAGGGGAGAAGACGACTGGAGAGTGTTCCGTGGATGAGCTTCCTCAGATGGGCTGTTGTCTGCTACACTAACCAGTTATTTCCCTTGTACTCGCCAACTTAACAGCTCAGTGGCTGCCACCCCACGTCCTTTCCAACCCACCATACTCAGCCATCCTCAGCTCTCCCGTGCCCTCTCCATCACTGAGATCGGACCTGTCTTCTGAGGTCCAGGTTCAAGTCTCCCTCTGGCCGTGACACCTCTCACTGCCATTCTCATCCACAGCAATCAATCCCTTGTCTAAAAGCCCTGTGGTAGTGTTAGCCCTCCACTGTTTTGTGTTATCACTGAGCTGTATCTTGAGAACTTAAGTGCTCCAGAAACACAGGCTGAGGTGCCTATAACACTTACATGTACTATGTAATTCATAGTATTCTGAAAACATAGGTTTTGTACTAAAAGAATTGATTGGCTAAAGATGACAGTAAGTTCTTAGTTAGTCCAATATCCTAGATAAGGCTTTTCCTCAAATAACCTGAAAGAATGAAACCACACTTAGTCATATTAAATGTCATTAAAATCTGCTCCAAGTTATTCCACGCTAAGCAATTACTTTGCTTGGTAAATCATGTCCATCACATTCACTTAATGATTTCAAGTGGAAAATCCGCTTTCACATTTTTCTCTTGACGTACGAATGTTCGCATACAAGGTGTTTATCATGAACACAAGCGATATTTCCATAATTCCTAACAGTGAGGCGCTCACAGGCAGGTTTAAAGATGTTTAGCACGAACACTGCCCTTACCTTCTAGAAAAAATGGCATGGTTTTCTTCACTCTCATCTGGCAATTAACTTGCCGTCCTACTTTCCTTTTAGAACTCCTCTGGCAAGCCACCAGTTGGGCAATTCTTGCTGTTTCTGTGCATGCCACCGCGTAGCAGGTTACCTGTTCAAGGTGGGCAGGGGGAGCAGAGAAACACTGCTTAGTTCATTGCTGCCCAGTGGTACCCACATACCTGTCCCAAGTCCACTGTACGCACGTCTTCCTGCCCTTCTCTCCTTGGTAATCCTAGAGCAAACTGACATTTCCCACCAGTGTTAAATCCAGCATAGGCTAATATGTTTAATCATCTTCTTACCCCAAATTGAGATTTTCATTCATTTCTTAAACAAGAATTTATTAAGGATCTATCACGTGCTAGGTGCTATGAGACTGACAGGTGAACCACAAGAAACCTGCTTCCACTTCAAGTAGGATAACTCATGGGATACTTGAGTAAGTGTTCCACACATATCACCTCACGGCATCTGTGGGATACAATTTACTCGCACTTTACACGTGGAAAGCAGAGGAAAAGGGAGTGGAGCAACCTCCCTAAGTCCCACAGCTAGGCTCTCTCTCTGATCCATTATTAACTTATTAATTCTTTCAGACACTTAGACACTCATGCCTTCAACACATTTATTAAGTACCAACTATTAGGAGTCAAAAAGAGTCTCCTATCTTTAAAAAATTTATGAAGGAAAAACAGTGGGGCAGGAACTAAACAGGAAACACTGATGAGCCTTAAGGTGGATGGATGAGGGCTGGATGGACAAGGTGCCTGGAGGAGAAGAAGGAGGGCTGATGAGCATTAGGGTGTATGGATGAGGTGATGAGGGGAGAGGAAGGAGGGCCGATGAGCCTTAAGGTGGATGGATGAGGTGCCTGGGGGAGAGGAAGGAGTGCTGACATCTGGAAGAAGCCAGTGGAGGAGATGCTCTTATGCTGAAGCCATTTTATTAGTAATACGCTCCATTAATTACATCACTTTACACCTCCTCAGAACAAGCATTACAGGTGAAGCTGGTCTCCCCTTTGATCTCCCCTGGTCATGGTCTCTTTCTTCCTCCTCCACTCTCCCCACCCTCCCACAAGAGGAACCACCATTTCCAGTTTAGTGAGAAACACTCCAGACCTACTCTATGTACCAACGTACGTAGAAGTAGACGCAGAAAAAAACAAATGCTGTTATTTAGGGTAGGTGGTGTTCGTTTTCTTTGGGGGCGTAGTTTGACCATATGCTATTATACTGTTGTTGTTGTTGTTGTTAGGTGCCATGGAGTCATCTCCAACTCATAGCGACCCCATGCACAGCAGAACGAAACACCGCCTAGTCCCGCGCCAACTCTGCGATCCCTGCTATACTTGAGCCCATTGCCACAGCCACTGTGTCAATCCATCTCGTTGAGGGCCTTCCCCTCTTTTGTTGACCCTCCACCTTACCAAGCATGACATCCTTCTCCAGGGAATGGTCCGACATGACAACATAACCAAAGTACATGAGATGAAGTCTGGCCATTCTCACCTCCAAAGAACATTCCAGCTGCACTTCCTCCAGGACACACCTGTTAATTCTTTCAGCAGTCCACAGTACTTTCAGCATTCTTTGCCAACACCACAGCTCAAAGGCATCAATTCTTCTTTGGTCTTCCTTATTCATTATCCAGCTCTCACATGCATATGAGGCGACTGAAAATACCATAGCTTGTGTGAGGCGCACCTTAGTCCTCAAGGAGACATCTTTGCTCTTCAGCACTTGAAAGAGGTCTTTTGCAGCCGATTTGCCCAGTGCTATACATCGTCTGATGTCCTGACTGCTGCTTCCATTGACGTCGATTGTAGAATCAAAAGCAATGTGAAGTCTTTGACAATTTCAATCTTTTCTCTATTTATCGTAATGCTGCTTATAGGCCCAGTTGTGAGGATTTTTGTTTTCTTTATATTGAGATGTAATCCATACTGCAGACTGTAGTCTTCAATCTTTAACAGTAAGTGCTTCAAGTCATCCTCACTTTCAGCAAGAAAAGTTGTGTCATCAAGCGTATCGCAGGTTGTTAATGATTCTCCCTCCAATCTTGATGCCACATTCTTCTCCATATAGTCCAGCTTCTCGGATTATTTGGTCAGCATATAGAATGAATAAGCATGGTGAGAGGATACAACCCTGACGCACTCCCTTCTTGATTCTAAACCATACAGTGTCCCCTTGTTCTGTTCTAATGACAATTAAGTGTTCTGGAATTCCCATTCTTCTCAATTGTTACGATGTACACAATTAAATGCTTTTGCATAGTCAATAAAACACAAGTAAACATCTTTCTGGTATTCTTTGCTTTGAGCCAGGATCCATCTGACATCAGCAATGATATCCCCCATTCCACGTCCTCTTCTGAATCCAG